CTCTCTCTCTCTCTCTCTCTCTCTCTCTCCCTCTCTCTCTCTCTCTCTACCTCCCCCTCCCCCCTCTTCTCTCTTCCCTTGGTCTTTCTCACTCTCCCTCTCTCACCCTCTCTCTTCTCTCTTCTTTTCCCACTTCTCTGTTCGCTCTCTTCTCCCTGCTTCTTTTTTTCCTCTTTCCACCTCTGCTCTGCACTGTTCTCTCTCACCTCCTGCGCCCGTCCCCTCCCCCTTGCCGGGTTCTGACAGTACGATGAGCTGCCCCATTACGGCGGGATGGACGGAGTAGGGGTTCCCGCTTCCATGTACGGAGACCCTCACGCGCCGCGGCCAATCCCTCCGGTTCACCACCTGAACCACGGGCCGCCGCTCCACGCCACGCAGCACTACGGCGCGCACGCCCCGCACCCCAATGTCATGCCGGCCAGCATGGGATCCGCTGTCAACGACGCCTTGAAGCGGGACAAGGACGCGATCTATGGGTAAACCGACCCTCCCACCCCCACTCAGCTTACTGTGTGTGAGTGTGAATGAGAGTGTGTGTTTGTCTTTTGGGGGGGGGGGGGGCGCTGGACGAGTAAGTGGGGAGTCATTTCTGCATGGGGGACCAGCTTGCCTTTCGAAAGGACAGTGGAGGGGGACTTGCTCTTCTTCCGCTTGAGTCAAAGCCCCGGGAAATGTAGTCTTCTCCACTCCCACGGACCCCACAGTCCGGAGTGACTGAGTCCTTAGAATCCTGCCGGGGGGCTTATCCCCAAGGACAGAATTCCTGGCCAGAGGAGCAGGGCTGGGCTTTTCAGGCCCCTTAACAGAGGCCTTGACGAAGGGGAAAGTTTCCTGCCGATGAGGAGCAACTTTGTTTTTTTTTTTTTTTTTTTCCTCTTCTGTTTCCTACGGAGGGTCTGGGAGTCACTAAATGCAGCTTGAGCTGGGATCAGGGCTGCTTCTATCGGCCAGGAAGTCCTAATCACCCACTTCTTAATTCTCTGTAAATAAAGGGCAACTTTTTTTTTTTTTTTTTTTTTTTCCTCTTCTGTTTCCTACGGAGGGTCTGGGAGTCACTAAATGCAGCTTGAGCTGGGATCAGGGCTGCTTCTATCGGCCAGGAAGTCCTAATCACCCACTTCTTAATTCTCTGTAAATAAAGGGGGCAGACCTTGAAGTGCAGCGGGGTGGAAGGGACTGCTGCTGCAGAGAGCTGCTCTTAGGGGGAGTAAGGGAGATGGCTGGACATTATTTTATACACTGAGAGAACTCGAGGAGGGGTGGGGATGCATGGCCCAAACGTGTACCACACGGGCTCTTCCGGCTGAGGGTAGGTGGGGAAGGCAGCGGGATGCCAAGGGGAGGGGACAGTGGGTAAACAGCAACTGAGCCCAAAGCCAGAGGCCGCAAGCATCCTGAAGTGTATAGCTGAACCGCCCGGGAGAAACACAAAGGGCATACGCGCACGCACACTTGCAAGTTTTATAACACGATTTATTTATTTTTGTCTGTGGCAAGGCTAGGAGAAGTGTGGTCTTTGGAAGGAAGCTCTTCGGCGTTTAACATTCATTATTTTGGCCCCCATACCGGGCTTTACTAGAAGTAGAGCAAACAGGTTTATAAGGCAAGGGGGTGGAGAGGTTAGAAGAGCACTCTCTTGCATTTAGGAAATGTCACTCCTGTGTGCATGTAGGTGAAGCCTTCGGCCTCATCTGAAATGCCCATTAAAAGGAGGAGTTAAAACAATTATTATTATTATTATTTTTATTTCAAAGAGTGTTGCTTTCTTGAGAGGTCAGGACTGGGTCGCAGGAGTTTGTTCGGCGGCCTCCGTAGTGTGGGGAGTGGGTCTGGATCAACTGCGGGCTCCAGAGTGCCCGACCTTCTTAGATGTATCATTATGTTCCAACTGAGGGGGGCTAAAGTGGCCGGGGGCTTCTCTGAGCAGATCCAAGGGACTTGTGAACTGAGGGAAAGAGCCAGGCCGATTTTCCTTTCTGTTTCTGGCCCAGGCTCGGCTGACTGAGGAAGCGTTGTAAAGTGTGATGCGTGCCTGTTGTATTAAAGAAGGAATCCAGACCCTCCAAACTTGTTGATTACAGTTCTTGCTCCTTCCCCTCTGCACCCCGTCTCCGTGTGTGTGTCTCTGCGTGGCGCTGCCCGTTAGGCACCCGTTGTTTCCTCTGTTAGCTTTGGTCTTTGAGAAGTGCGAGCTGGCGACCTGCACTCCCCGGGAACCCGGAGTGGCCGGCGGAGACGTCTGCTCCTCCGACTCCTTCAACGAGGACATCGCGGTCTTCGCCAAGCAGGTCCAACCTTCTTGACCCACTCACCCTCCCGCAGCCCCTCTCCTCCTCCCCTTTCCTCGGAGCTTTACTTGAAAGACGAGGAAAAAGCAGGGACACCCGATCTGTTCCTCTGGCCCCGTCCGCACTCTACTCCTCCTCCCATCCCTGAGCCTGCAGGCGAATTGGAAGCGGAGATAAGTATGGGTGTTTGTTTCCCCCCAGCCCCCAGTCAGGAATATAGGGGCTCGACCCTCGAATTAAAGTTGACCTGCTCCTAATCTGGGCCTTGGCCTTTTCCCCCGCCTGCAGCTACTTGGACAAGAATTGGGGAGAGGGGCTGTAAGGGACACGGGAGTGCCCGGGAGGCAAGGAAGCTGGGCGCCTCTCAGAGCGCTGGCACTGGGCGCGGAGGTGAGGTGGGCGGAGAGCCATAGCCTCTTGGACTGCTGGATTAGGAGCTACTCGGGCCCAGAGAACGGCCCTGAGTTCCCGGCCACAGCTTAGTGCTACCAGGTCCCCTTAACGGGGCCGGGATCAGAAGGCCCTTGTTCCTTCCAGCCGACCCCACTAGTTTAAGGCACCAGTTTGTTTCACGTATTTTACCAAAGCCGCTCTCCTCTTCTCCGCCACTGCCCCTCCACTGTCCCACTCTCACACTCCTGTTTAGTCAGTGACTGACGGGGTTTTCTTCTTCTAAATGAGGTGGTAATTCATGCTGGCTTTCCCTGCTTCTTATAGGTTCGCGCCGAAAAGCCACTTTTTTCCTCAAATCCAGAGCTGGACAATTTGGTAAGGCGCAGTTTCTTGCTTTTCCCCAGCTTCGGCTCCCTCCTATATCCAGAAGCACCCACTTTTTCCTGGAGCTCCGAGGAGTTCGAGCAGAGCCCTCGTTGGGAGTCCTACGCGATAGGGAGAAAGGGAACAGCTTAGAGTCCCCGTTAGGGAGATGGCGAGTGAGGGGCAGGAGGGACGTCAGGGGGAGCGAAGCCCAGGGAGGCAGAAACGGGGGACGCGGCGCCGACAGCGCTAGCAGGAGATGACTCCCAGGTCTGGCCCCGGGAGTAAGCTTTGAGAAGTGAGTTATTTCCTCTGTTTGCCGGGGCAGGCGGCCGAGCCCCGGGCTGCTAACCCGAAGGAAGTAACCGCTGGCTCCGCGGAGGGCGGGCTGGGGGTGGGGGCTGGGGGC